TTGTAAGTCAACTAAACCTACTAATTAAAAAAATACTTCAATGCATAAGAAAGGTCCTTAAGCCTTTTTGAAACTCCTTTTTAAGTTGACTTGAGTGCCCTCTAAACAAGCATGACAGGCATTCAATGATAGCAAATACATCTTTGATTACATTGTATTATTGTTACATATCATATCAACTTGTACTATTTGCGGGTTCCATAATTATAAATAATTTTACTAAAAAATCTTACAGACTTACAGATAAAAATATTCTGATAACAAATCAGGTTATCAATGTATGCAGAATACTACAAAAATTATTTCCTAAATTCTGATAAGCACTTGTAACAAAATGATAAAGATTGAATGTGAAGAAATGTATTCTTAACCAAATCTTAAATTTTTCATAACATGTCACACACACATAATGCCATTTCAATGTAAGATACATTGAAATGGCATTATATATTACATTGAAATGGATTTGTGGTATGCCAGTTTTTGTTCTGGCTAGAGGCTCCTATTAACTACAATTACGGCAAAAAATGACACTTGTATTCTATTCTAAAAATCTTGTTGTATACCTTTCCAGCATCATTTTTTGTCATAGTTGGGTTTTAGTTTTTAATACTTTTTGTTATTACTATTTTGCTGTTAAAATGTATTTGTGGCTCATAATATCAACAAAAACTTAAATTGATGGACTAATGATAAGTAGTCGAAGCTATGAATGAAAAGATGTGCATTATATGCAATCAGCCCATGAATACAGGTAAAGTCATAAATAAGCAAATGTTAGTAAAGCATTTTCAAATGATTCAAAACATGACATATTAATCTTAACACGTTAAGCGCCATGGGGGTCACCGGTGACCTCCGTTAGCGGAGGATTTGCCTTCAACATTTTTCTGTCAGCAGCCAAAGGCTTAACTTTATTTTTTTACTCTAAATGTTTTGTCCTTTAGAGGATGCCACATTGAAATTTTATATAGCTATATAAGCTATAGCTTATAACCAGCAGATAATTAAGAGTTTCTGATGATATGTCATTTGTCGAATTCTGATAAGTGGTTTCGAAATTCTGAGGGAACAGATAAACATCCATACTTAGATAGCCTGACAAAATCATAACACTCCTTTTGCTTTGCCAAAGTCGGGTATAAGACCACATCAGGGATAGAAAGTTTGGTCCAGTCCAGGCAACAAGGTGCAGTATGTTGAATAATGAGTGGTCAAATAAACTATCTTTTAAAAGGAACATTCAACATCTTCAACTTGAGACTTACACTACATTTACCACTTTTATTATAAAATTTAATAACATTAGCTACTGTCCTTCTTGTCCTTAAAACAATGAATAGTGAGTAACTTAGTATATAAAATGAAATTAGAAATATGAAAAGACTGGTAATTGGCATATTTGCATTTTATGTGAACTCAAATAATATCTTGACCCTACAACAAAGCCTTTCAAATATGCTTGATAATTTATTACAAATATTTATAGTTTGGGTGTAGGTCCTAAAATATAAAGTTTCGGTTTTAAGATTTAATGGAATAATTTTGTTGCTAAGAGTGAAGTGGGTACTTAATTAGAATTTTATTGGAACAATATACAAAACGGTATCAGTAAAACTACAAGGGTTGGCTAACGTAGGATTAGTAGTATAATCTTAAACTTACCTGATATTCCCACCGTAAAAACGATAAAAGCCGTTAAAAATCCGTAAAACCAAAACACAACAACACCACAAAATAAAGTTAACGTAGACACAACCGACAGTCTATATAATATTATTCTAAGAATATGATACATTTTTAAATAAGGTATGAGTAATATAAATATAAAACTGCGATACTATGGAAGGGAGATGGTAGAAATGTGGGAAACTTTACAATCATATCATTTCGAACCATAACCTAGGTCGAACCATGTTACGCATTTTTGCATTATTTATCCAGACTTTTCACATATTTAAAACAAGATGTATTCGAATTTATTATCTATAAGGAAATAATTGTTTAGAAAAAACTTAATTAAAATAAGTATCAATATTTTTGATGTTTATTAGAATTTGACAGATGTTATGCCAAACGAATCGAATAAAAAAAAAAAGAAATGTGTTGTGTACACTTTATCCGTAGACAGAGAATAGACTTTATCGTACCACTAAGGTATTTCAGGAAAATATATGTCCACCTTATAAATAAAATAAATGTTGGCAAGTTAATTAGGTTCAACAAAAAAAATATTATTTTTTTCTTAGGGATAGGGGTAGGTAGTCCTTTAAAAAATGGAAAGCTGTATTGCATAGTTAAACATAATATTATGTAGCTTCCTACAGAAAGCTTGAAAGAATGGTTACATAAAATAAAAACAAATAAGGCTTTCAAGTAAAAGGTTGGGCATCAGCCCTAGTAGACAGAATGACATCCTTGGATCATTCAACTAGGTAGGTCTAACTTCGAGGAAGAGGTCGCCCGAAGAATCCAACCAACTCGGAAGTTACGCGATGTCTTCTCATCGGAAATCGCACAGGGTCCGAAGACCAGGATGTTTAATCAGTGTGTTGCCGGTAAAGGCTCCGAGTCGCAGTGCGGGCTATGCTCGGGGTCTCTTGGCTCGAAAAAATCCGTCTTCCAGCTGATGATAATGATGATGATGATGATGATGATGATGGATGACCTAACGGTTTTATGGTTACCATATAGGGTTCAAATCCGGAACCTATTGCGGCCGACGAGTTTGGGACAAGGGATGAGGAAGACACGAGCATACGCTGGGTTGCGTCCCGTGCGGGCCTTAACGAGCCATCAGGCCACCACAGGCGGGGCCCAATAGGGCTGATGTTCAGCCGGGGTTGCGGGGTACCTAAGCGCAATGAGGCACCGCGACCTCAGCCCAGAGCAGGAGAAAGAACAGGGGGGTTTTGGTCAGTAAGAGGCTGACATACCCTCCCAAGAAGTCTGAAGTCATTTGATGATTTTCACCTCACAAAAGAAAGAGGTAAACTCTCCTGCCGAATGGGAGGATTATGTAGTAGGTACCTAAACAATGGCGTCTTTCTAAGTAAATTCGTCTTGAAGAGACGTAAGAGCTGTTCTTGTCGTTGTGATAGCCACCCAATTAGCTAACTTAAGCCAAGGAAGTTCTGATAATTGGTGTTCTCCCGTACATTAATCAACGTCGTCCTTCCCGTCTACAGCGGCTCTATTCTAATCACACCCACGGTAATCTAATTTATAAATATGGCATACGTCTATAAGTCTTCACTTTACCAGGAAAAGGAATCCCTTAAGAACCAGGGATATATAGACATCAGTTGTGCGATTATACATCCTCAGTCCTCACTAAACACGAGACTCACGGTCTTTCCGCTCCCAACAATAGCTGAACCACCCGTGAACTTGTGCCTTCTGCTGGGGCAGGTCGGCTTACCCAGCTTGTTGTTGTTGATGGGTGATTTAGTGCAGACGTCGATAAATGTAAATATGACATTATAGTTTGTATTATTGTAGCCATATACTTACTTGTTGTAGAAGTTGTAGTATGACAACGGTATTTTATAAATATAAGCAAAAACCTAAGGTAAATGAAAATTCTATAGATAACAAGGACACGGGCCACTCATACAAGAATACCTTGTAGTAATGCTGTTATTTATCTACTTATTAAATCTGTAGAGAGGTCAATTCTGTACATGAAATATATTTTAAAAGTAACTATCTGGGGGTGTTTTGTGATAGATACCTACTGATGCCAAAAATGCAATCAGTAATATGTTAACCGTCTTTATGTATAAAAACAAAAACTACTTTACAGATTTTAACGAAACTTGGTGTAATTAATCTTCATATTATACTTTTCAGCATTCTACAATTAATAGCAGAACAGTGAAGGTAAATCTTGGGAAAGCGGGAGAAGTTACTCCAGAGTTTAAGCTTCCGTCGAGTGTGCAGTAACTGTAAAGCTACATAGAAATCAAGGAATTGTAGCTACAAAGAAATCATGTATCACGAAAATGTTCTAAAAATATCCTTATAGTTGACTCACAATAACACGTGGAACTCCCGATAGCTTAGCAGTTTGAAGCATTCTCATTATACATATTAGTTTACTCTTACGTTTACCTACAAAACTCTCACTCATACCTTATTTAAAAAAAAGTTTAGGTACATTATTACCTATTCAATAAAAAAATACTTAATGATGGAAATCAGTATAGAAACACTAAACTTATAATTACTTGAAATACGCTAAGAATGAAATTGAAAATGCTTGAAATACGTGCAGCTTTGCGACGCCATGATAATAATACTATGAGTATGAGCAAGATTCGAGGCAGACACGGGGAATACAGAAAAACAAACATTTTATCAATCAATATTAAATAATTTTATTTACATTTAAAGATAAGTTATTTCAAATCTTAATTAGCTAATTCATATCTTGATAAGTTTTTAGAATATTGTAAATTAAATAGGACGAACTTGCATTGTACATGTATTGATATAAAATTTGTATTATATAAAGACCCTCTTACGTAGATTTAACACATCGAAGGCACGCAAAAGAGATATCTAGTCGTCAATAAGACGTGTTCATTTAAATGTACATAACTAATGTTACAATTATAAATAACATTATAAATAATCATGAATTGTAACAGAATATGATTAGTGTATGTATTACATTATTATTTTTCCAGAATTATTTTTTTAAATAATTTTCCTGGTATGTAAAAAAATCTATTTTAGTGAAATTATCGTAATTACTAGATTTATAACAAAATGCAATTAAAAGCAATCGTGATGTAGGTACACAATAAACATTTCACATTATTTTGATATAAACATTATTTATTAACAAACAAAACTTGAATATGAAACATTGTAAACAAGTATATTCGGTTGATGTACAGTTTATAAATAATATTCTTTTGTTCATAGAAACATCAGCTAACATACACATATTTTTTGAAAAAAAATATGGCTTTTTATTAATTAACAAATAAGTGGGGGGTATTAATTAGTATAATTATAATTTGATTAATTTTAATTCGTTTCTCATAGTCATATCTAAATGTTTTAGTCAAGAAAGTATTAGAAATAGAAAAGTTAGCACCAGCGCTTTGAAACATTAACATTACTGTTGAGGCGGCGTCGTTTTTTATTATGAGCAGTCAGAAACCTAAGATGGATGGAGAAAAGATGTCAATTATGCTATAAAAAAATGCCCCGCTGACCTCAACTCAAGAGAATTAAAAGAAATAAATAAAGCAACGACAAAATTCGTCATTTTGTGTCAAATAAAATCCTACATTGAGCATTAGTATCAATATGTTTTTAAGAGTACAGATCAGAAGAGAAACCGTAATACGATGACTGGGAAAGTGTGTTATTATAACAACAAATCATCATTATGTGCATAATTCAATAAACTATTAAACATATCTCATTAACACTAGTATCATTGTAAAACGGACCTATAATATGCCGCGAACATTTAGCTCTATTGTAACTACATTAAAATATTCATAAAATCCAGTTCATACACATTTCCCTGTGTCTTATTGTATTATAGTATTCGAAAAAGAAGAAGTTTGAGAAAAATACACTTATGCTTATTATAATATTAGTTCAAACTAGATTTTAGTATTATCAACTGCTTGATAATTGTCTAATTATTGATATCTAATTGTCTAATTAATGATACTTATTATTTTAAATTATACACCATATTTTAGAATGACCAATAGCAGTTCTTAACGTGTATACCTTACTATTGTCAAAAATATAAACTTTAATGTTGTAAGCAATAAATTAATCTGATATAACTTTATTTGAAATATTATTAGAGACAGTAAAACTTTTTAGCAAAAGAAATAAAGGATGTTACAAAAATATAGTACAAAATTAATTATTATGAAGAATACTTCAGCTTGATATGAGTGCCACTTATACTCTAAATATAAACTACACATTACAACAACAACAAAACTAAAACAATGGAGTGGATACATAGTAAGATAAGCTATTGTATTAGCTTATCATACTATTTATCTACTTTCTATTCTTCATTCCATTTTGGAGTTTATTGTAATTAGTAAACATGTCTTGTACATCTTTCAGCGCACGTTCGATTTGCCTTACGAACAGCGCTGAGTTCTGTAAAAAAAAATATCTGCAATTAAGATGCGATAAATCTGCAAGTTGACCCCCGTCGTTGTATTGGGATCAAAGACAAGTAAGTTTTCCGATCGCAAAACCATTTTTTAAATACAAAGGTTCATTATTTTATATTTTATATTACATATAACAACGGTGCTGATAACTTACCGTAATAGAGCAACTCCGCTTGCTCGACACGTGGAAGAAGAGGAGTTGCTCACCAACAATGATGTAAGACACGCCGTATCCATCATCTGCTACAGGGCCAAAACCACCACCAGCACTCACGCACTTCGGGTGTTTCTTTAGATCCAACATTGACGTTTGACCTGGTAACACAGAAAGATTATAGTATCTTTAAGTTAAACTTAAAACATCTCTCTAAAAGTGTAACTGTGATTCAACTACCCATTTGACAATTATAACATAAAAGTATTACTTAGACAAAACTATAAGAGAGTTAACTAACCATGGGGCGTTTGGCTTGTTGATAGTCGCCACGGTTCATTAAAGACCTCCTGCAGGAAGGGTGAATCAAGTTCCAGATATTTTGAGACTACATAAAGACAGAAGAGATGACGGTCGATGCCTCTGCCCGCCATGGCGTCTTGGTAGCCCAGTTGATGGCGATGGCTAGCCCTTATAAACAGTTCCATTCGTTCTTGAATCTGAAACCAGTTAAAGTCTGGGTAATTCTGGGTATTTACCGTAACAATAAGATTGTCTATAACCATGTTGCTATATAAATACATTGGAAAAACAACTAACAACATACCGTGACTCTAGGATTCTCCATAGCCTTGACCCATTCAGAGCTTTCGATAGTACAGGAGCGTACGGTTTCTGTGCGGCCCTCACGGAATAAGCGGGTCATGGACGCTTCGTATGTCAAACAGAAACGGCCAGCGTCGCGGTAGTACGCCAGCTGAAGAATTAATTGGATGAAAGCGTCCGGAGACACGCGGCAGCTCTTCATGAAACCTGATAGTATGAATTACTTAAAATTAGTTCTTAACTTTCTCATTTACTGGAAATAAGATACCGAAGCAGTGAATACGAACCTTTGCCATACTTAGTGTACATTAATATCCTTAAGTCCACATCGTCCAATAGTTTTTGAGCGACGGTGTACGATACGTCAATACCCTTGAGCAGGTCTCTGTTGCCAAGTTCCCACTGTAAGCGGATTGGAGCCGGTGGAGGGGAGTCAACCGTACCCAGCGTGTTGCCATCAGGACCGTACCTAAAACAATTATTATGTTACGATTTTACTTTAGAACAAATTGACGTCATGTTTACTGGATAGAAGTAATGATTTCTTACCCGACTTCTAATTCGCACCAAATCACGTATTCCCATAAGTGGCCCATAACGGGTGCGTCTGCCCTGTAATGTAAAATTTGTTTTAGGATATAACATTCAAAATTGAACGTAATAAGAATAAGTATTTTAATTAAAAATGTTCGTACCATGTGTGTTCCGAGTTAAAGCCAACCTGTAAAGAATATATATAACATACGTTAGTCCTCAGTGCATAACAATGATATATAATGTGGTTTATAAGAAAGGAAACGTCATATTATTTTCTATATGTATAATTACAGAGTACCTATATCGAAAATTTTTACGTCGTGTCGTGTTATATATTATTATAGTTCTGTTAGCATTATTACGTAACTGCCATATCAATAGCCTTTGCTAGTTTGTTGTGCGATATGGAATGTATACCAATTGTTATTTAACGCAGCACAAACTCACATGTCAAGTAAAGGTAATAAAGAAATACCAGTCTACAAAATCTGTATTTATCGAAGTTCATTGAAGAAAAAAAAACTTACGAAACCGTTTTTGCTGAAGCATAGGTTGAACGACTTGTCGAACCATCGGTCGTAGCCCTTTCCGTGCAGTAGCACTCGACCAAACTCGTCCAGCTTGGAGGGATCCGTTTCATCATAGCCATATTCAAAATCATCTGTAGGGAAATAATAGGCATTAGATTGGAGCCTTATACGAAACATCTATTTTAAAATTTTAACAAAAGTTTCATATTATAGCATACATTTTGTATTTTAAGTACCTACAGCAAAAAGATAAATAAAAATAATCTGCAATGACAGTGAATTCGATTGTTCTACAGGACAATCAAATACTTGCAAGTGTTGCAACTATGAATCCTCGTAATTCAGAAAAACTGTGACATCCTGTTAATATTCGCAAATTGTCCCAATGCCAGTATCTTGGAGACAAAACAGTTGTTGTACTTATAGCAAGATAATGGATATGACGTCACTTGTCTGTCTTACTCGATTTATCTTGGTTGTAGGTATCGTCTAGTACAAAGTTGATATAGGTAATTAATTGTAACACTGATTGTCTTATGATCGTTAGTATCGTAGTGATAAATTTCTGGCTCTCGTTATTAGAATTAGGACAAAGAAAAAATATATTCAAGTAGGTATTACAACGTCATTTAAACGTGTTATTTTAAACCTATAAAAGAGTAGGTACCTATGGTACTTGAAGGTAAACAGTCAATAGTTTATTTGTACCCGCTAAACTTCGGAACTACGTACTAATAGTTGTAATCGAGCGATTGTACAAAGGGATTGACCAATATTACCAATGTTTGACCTGAGGAGTAACTGGTTAAAGATCAACATATAACGAGCAATCCACTAGCCTTATGTTATTGATTCGATAGTTGGCGTTGTCGTCTTCGTCGTCACGAGGTTTAGATTCCTGTGTCGGCCACAGACTTAATGTTTATTTCTTAGGTTTTTTTAGCAGATAATATAGCTAATTGCTAATTTTTAAAATATCATAGGAGTCTGCAATTGTTTTGGATATGCTGATCCACGTTACATTAATTTATATGTCAAAACTATTATCACAATAATCAGAGTTTATCGTTTTTCGAATTCCAATAGCAAGAGCTTTTCAGATTTGTGGTCTATTTTCAGAGCATATTCAATGCAAATAAACCTTCAAATGTTTCCTTTTTATAATATTATTAATACGGTAACGTTATTGATTGTGTCGTGGCCATATACAAACGTCCGGGGGCTCCCTCATGCAAATGTAGGTATGGTACGCTTATACGCTACGATAATGACGGGATGAGCCGACGGCGAATGAAATTACGCTAACGTAGCATTGAGTACTATTACGGAACCAGAAACAAGGTCGACTAACATGTGCCGCTATAAACTGCCATACTAGGTTCTCCGCTCCTATTAATCGCAGCGTGATGTTTTAACTTATCCTTCCTCGATAAATGAACTATCCAACACAAATATTTTTTATATTGATACCAGTAATTCGAGAGTTTAGCGCATTCGACCAACCATATAAACAAACAAACACTACTGTATAATATGAGTACCAATATTCAGAAGATAACGTACAATCAATTTTATAGGTATTTTAAGATATTAATTTATTTTTACAATTCTGATGTTACTGATTAAGTTTCATAAACATTGCAAAGCTCTTTGGACTTTGCTCCTTGTAGGTGTATTGTTGTATCTGTTTCTACTAATACTTTTGACGGCCTAGAATAAATGAAGGGCGCGGGTATTTTTAGGTCGCGACGACAATTTATTTTCTGGAGACTATTGATACGTATTGTAGTTTTGTAATATCGTACTACCTATTATAACGTAAACGTGAAAATGAGTTTATGGAGTGAAAGAAGCTATGAAATAGAGGTGTTCAAAAATATTAGGTACCTACTGTTTTTATTAAAAATAATGCCAGTGAACTTTATTGAATACAATTTTTACTACAATGTGTACAATTTGATAAAAATATTGAGGTCAATGAGATCCCCAATCTTCACCGAAGGTCATTATCTTATCTTTGTAGGTATGTATTCACGGAACTGATTTACAGTTCCGTGTCTACAGTTTAATTTGCTTTCAATAATAATGTGTACTATATGTTTTACAGCAAGTACACTAGACTGCCCTAAATATTATTGGAGCGTTTTTTGTATACAATGTAGGTGCAAGGTGCTAAATCCGGCCATTCCGCCGGCATTAGGCTGGGCTTACATTGAGCGCATGTGGGCGTGGCGAGTGACACTTATTCATTATCAGTGTCGAAACGATTACAGGGTGCTCTGCACTTTATATTCAGGTGAATCAATTTAAATCCCAACAACAAACAACTAGAGGTAAAGTGACTATAATAGCGTAATTGCGGGAAATATTAGGGAGGATGCGAACTGTTGTCTATACGGACAGCTCGAGAACTCTGTATCACGTGATATTTATTACATACGTCCAGCATCTTACAAACGTTGTAAATAAAGGCTAACTCAACTTACCTAAGCATACGTTAAATGCAGCTCGCTCGATACAGTGTAAGGAGGTGCGGTTATGTCCTCTATTGAACATGGTCTGCCTGATGTGAGCCCAATGTGTTCGCTCGCCTGCTGTCAATGCTGCCAGGTGTTTCTCTCCGATCACGGGCTCCGATTGGTCATCAAGGATTTGTTGGATTTGTCTACGCAAAAATTAATACTTTAATCAAAATGGGACTAGTCCAGTATAAACCGTACACGCAATGTGTCCTCGCCGTAATTAATTACGCAATGTACCTACATAGACAGAATAATAAGATTTTTTTTTTTCAATGAACTATTGGTAGAGGAATACAATCTGAAATGCTTTGTTATAATTCCTACAACCGTGTACAAGCCCTAATAAAGTTAAATATAATGCAAATGGGTTAGAAAACGGCAGCATTGAACGACGACCTCAATTAGCTTGATTGGTAAGCAGTTGGATGCTTGGCACTACTTACAAGCGTAGTCCACTAATGAAGGGGATTATTACTGTATAAATTGCGCTTTACAGTTACGTAAGCTGGGATTAATAATTAAAATTCTTCAAAACTGTCACAAGCTCGTATTGCATCTTGACAAATGATGAAATCAGAGTACAGAGTTAAATGTTTCTACCAAAAAGCTATGTATATATGCTAATATAGAACAATATTAGCATATCCCAACATTACTAATAATAATAATTTTAAAGTAACTCGTCTTGTTAAATTAAGACTCACAAGTGTGCATGTCATTTAATTTCATTTGGTAGCTAGACTATGACAAACTAAAAGAACTTGAGTAATTATACATTGATACGAGATATGTAAATTACTTTATACTTAAACGTTTGTATGATACATTAAACCTTTTGCATATAGTAACTTCACATGTTTAGCGACTACAACAAATACATATATTAGGGGAAATAGGGACTGTTTGCAAATACACTTTAAGAGAAATCAATGTACGGCTCTAAAACAAATTGACTTATTCCAAAAAACTTTTACTACTTTACCAACTATGTTTTCTTTTAAAAAAGAAAAAGGTAGGATATTTTTCTTTTAGTTATTCCTACAGATCTACACGAGATAAATCCTTAATGGGCACTATGTCGTAGGTAGAAAACTAGTATTAATTATATCAACTTACACTTGTATTTCAGCTGGTTTCAATAGGCGTCCTCTAGAATACACGATTACTTTGTAGTATCTGCCTTTATGGTGGACAGTGATGTGGGTCGAGTCCTGATAGTGCACGATCTTGTCACGTTCAATGCCGGGGACACGGACCGTGTTGAATAAGCGTTCGTATTGCCACGAGCATAGTGGCACCATATTCTGTAGCATAATCTGTGAGGACATTTACAAATGCATCAACAACATAGAAAAAGTTCTAATTACAAGTACGTAGAAAAATGCTCTATTTAAAAGCACATTTTCTAATGCAAACGTGGCCTCGCTTGCACCAATTCATTAATTATTTATTGCTCCTACATTCGGTCGATTTTATCGATTATTTTTAAGCACAGAAATAGAAATTCTAGGCTGTCAATAAATGTGTTATGAATGAAAGAACTTGGGTAATAAGAAATTTGTTGTAAATATAAGTAAGTCAAATTGCCTATATTAGGTGTTTTGACTCGACTGATAATATTTAGTCACCAATTTGATTTTGTAATCATTGTTTAATGAGTTGTGGGAAACTAGAAAGTGTAACATTTTGTGATCCAGGTACGTATGATAAGTGGCGTAACATTTGTGTTAGGGACTGTTATCACATAATATGTGTGACTGTGATGCACCAATATTATAAAAGACTAGAAGATATTTTAAAAGACTGACGAGTTACTAACCGGCTCAAGTTCCTGCCTATCGATGAGTCTTCTGAACTTAAGGCACAAATGGATGATGACACCGGCCCGCGCAGCCTGAATTTTAGTTGGTCTCAATAAAATGGCATCTGTTCCATAGAAGTTGGAGTTGACCATCAGAGGTGAGCGACCGCGCAGGTACACGTATTCCTCCCACCAATCGGATACGTAGTTGCTGGACCACCTAAAGTTTACCGTTACAATCAATTTCACGAATATACTTATCATATTTGCTGTCCCGAAACTCAAACTATAATAGAAACTGAGTGTGGTTTCTTCAAACAGTCAATAGAAAACACTATTTAAACTTAATTTAATAATAGGTATATGAAGATGATCAAAAATCAGGTATAGCAAGCGGTATAGTAAATACTTATAATAATAATTACCATGACTTAAGCACCAAATATCTTTGAAGTTTTACAGCAATTGTTTCTTCAAATTCTTTAGCCAATCTTTCTACCCTTTTATAGTTCTTATCGTCCAGTAGAGGCCGAACACTAAGCAGGTACTGAAAAAATAACGAAACAATAAAAGTAAACATTACAAGACATGTATTACGCTAAAATTGTTTAAATATAATAATCATAATAATATTTTGATTTCAATCTTATAATTAGAAATTATAAGTGCAGGTTTCCTCACGATGTTTTCCTTTACCGCATGTCAGTGGTGTGAAAAAGTCACATTGGTACTTGCGAGGTTTCGAACCCGCACCCTCATGCATGCTAAGCGGGTGCCTTAACTTCCAGGCCACCACGAGAAGAACTTAAAGACTTCTTAACGTCTTAATATACATGTATGTGTAATAGATAAGATCTGATTTGACATTTGTGTACAAATAAGTAAGGTGTGCAAATAAGACTATGTAATTCACAATTACCCGTTTCATTGTATCTTTAACTGCAGGTAGCGGTAGCCTTGGTAACGATCCTTGAAAACTATACAACTTGGGCTTGTTCCACCCAGATAACACTTTCACAACACTTATCCACAGCATCGTTTTTAATGATATTGTTGATCCCGGGGCACGAGATTCGTACATCCAACCCTAAAAATGTTAACTAGTTAGAAACATATCAATGGGTAACCACTTTATTATGAAATATGATTAGGTTAAATTTTACCTTGTACATTAACAGAAGTTTGAGTAGATATCTCATGAGAAATATGACACTAAGCCACATGGTAAGAGCTGCCAATAAACATGCGACGACCTGCCATATAGTGGAGTTTCTGGGCAAAATATAATCAATGTTACTCTAGTGTTACACATAAATAAAATATACATCTAGATAAATGTTGCAGGCATTGTCCTTGACTCTACTTGTTGTTACTTGATCTATGACAATTTGAGATCAGCGATTAGCTGGTAGGTACCTGAGAGCTTAGTAATTTTTAAACATTTTATCCTCATAAGAAATAATTTGGAAATTGTAACTTAGGCTAATGCTAATAGTTATTGTCTACCATACTATAAATTTATGTGTATTACAAAAGAAGAGGGTGATTGTATATTTTTATAAAAAGTGAATGTAGGTACTTAATAGGTAAAAAATAATTTACAAGCATTTTCACGGAATCTGTTCTAAAGACGCATATTTGTAAGCACGAGTTCTTGATTTTTAATTATTGTGGTTCGAAAGCAAAAACTTTGCAGGCGAAGTAATGATTAATTTCCAAATCTCTGGTGGACACTGGATACGGACCCATCACTTTTTTCGACGGATGGATAGAGGAGTCTTAGTTATAAGCAACGCGATTAATTTTTTTTCAATTGGGTACAGAACAGTGTCATTTTAAGTCACCACCAGTTTTGAGTGGGTGTGTTTCGCAGTACCCTCGGCCTAAGAGATAAAACAAAAAAATCTTCGTTATCATTAAAAGAAAATTGATGAAAACGGATACGATTATATTGCTGTCAAGATAATCACCAGACGGCGATTGAAATATTATGGATTAAATCGTATTATATCGATAAGAACAAATGGCAATACCCTGAACCGTTATGTATTTGATATAAAAAAAAAACTAAGATTTACTTTCTTTCCTTAGCTTAGCTTGACATACTTTATCGGCTTTCAAGCAGAGGCTCTTTAATACTTTAAATCAACTTAGACTAACAGATTAAATTAGAGAGTAACATTGTAGGTATTTTTATAAAATCTGAATGTAGGTAGTGTGCAAAAATCAGTATATTTTTTCTGAAAGTTATCTACCTACTTATTACACTATAAAGGAATATCATAACGAAGAAAGAGTATATTTGTATAAAAACTAAATGCAGGTAATGTGATAAAATCTGTTTCTTTTTTCTAGAAAAGTTATCTACCTACTGATTACACTATGAAGGAATATCGTAACGAAGAAAGAGTAATTGTATCTTCATAATTATTAAGTATATAATTATGCTGTATCTGTGTATGTAATTAAACAGCTTGACCACTTTAAATGAATTTTTCTCATTTGAGTTTTTAGAAATTTGATATGTGGTGTTCCTTGGGAAGAGTAGCTAGTATTTTTATAAAATCTGAATGTGGTTAGTCAAAAAAAAAAAAAGTCAAAAATCATTTATTTCAATTAGACCACAGTAGGCACTTTTGAACGTCAAGCAAGCAAAAAAGGAAAAAAGTATATAACAAGAGCTTTAAAATTAAGTGTGTCAGTCTGTCCGTCTGTCCTCTAGTGAAGCTATTTGCTCGTTCCAAAGTGTAGATTCCTATGGAGAAGAACGAGCAAGAAACTCCATGGTTACTCTTTTTCAATCAGTTTTACAACACAAATTTCTTTGTTACAATAATTATATTTTTTCTAGAAAGGTTTACTTATAATACTGTGAAATAATATAATAACAAAGAAACTTTGATTTAAATTTGGTCCTTTATTCTATTTGCATTGCCCATGCTCTGAAACTGGACAGATTTAAAAATTCTGCCACCATTAAAAAGCTTGTCTTAAGGACTAAAATGGGTAGTTAAAGTTGCCATAGTTCTTTGTTTAAGCGGAAGGGACTGCAAGTCTTCTCAGTTATTTAATATTCACCATTTAAATCAAAAATGTAAAATAAAGCTGTACCCTTTTTTATGATTATAAACTTCTAAATACAAATAAGACAGTATTATAGGTGTTTATTTTAATAAAATCAATTAATAATCTTTTCATTCAACTTACCCGGGTAAAATAGATAAGGCTTTTTGAGAGAATGGTACATTAAGCCCAGCAAAATGTGCAGCCGTAAGAAGTGCCCACAGCACATACAGGGATTGCAAATGGCCTGGATAAACGCCATTGTGTACACTATTCTGTGAAACAAAAAAAATATTTTGAGATTTCAGTGCCCACAAACTAAAAGAAAAAAATTAAAGTTAATGTGGGTAATTATGAATTGCGATGGAGATGGTTAGCCAACTGTTATAATTTTAAAAATGTAACTAAATGTTTTTATAATAGAATTGCATTCAAGACATTGTAGCATACATTTAAAGCATATTAATAAGATGCTCAATTTTAATTAATTATACCAACGCCTAGTGGGTAACTTTGCGATTACTTAGCATTAATTTACACAAACACTGAAATTGAACTTTACAAATGCCCCCTTGCACAAAAACATTTTACTGAATGCTGAGTAGGTACAAAGTGATTAGATTTTGCTGGTTTTGTTGGCTTGCAAAGTATAAAGGAAAATGATGAATCAAATTGACATAATTATAAATTTATAATGCACATACCAGATATATTGGTCTAAAGTAAATGAGAATAAAATAAAGCTAATACCTAGCTGGATAATTGTGTAGGTACTTACTATAAAACGTGCTAGGCGCTTCTTCCATGATCGCACACCCGACTCCCAGACCAGGTACAACACTTCCCGATCAAAATTCACATCCCATCCCTCGTGTGTGATGGCAAATGAAAAAGCTACGGCCGAGTGTGCTTCTGCCATCACGTTTTAGTGGCCTAAAACAAAAAATAATTTCTTTATCCAGTATTCAAAGTAATACAAATATTCTTAGTAATAATTTTAGAATTTTTCTTTGAAGGTAGAAGGCATAGCGAATTGTAGGTATCTGAAAAATTGTAAGTGGATATTTTTTGCCAACAGAGCAAGAAACTGGTTAGCATATTGTAAAATGTGCCGCTACCCACAATTTTGAGAAAAAAGGTAGCGTACATTATGATGCAACAAATGATTTTAAAAATTAACATCAATTGTTTAAATGCTGTTTATATAACATATAAAAGTCCTGTAGGTAAATAGAAAATTAAGCAGAATCAGTGTGTTAACTCATTATCAAAAATTTATGATGTAATATTTTTATATCTGTAATCCTTATAGATTTATGATTTTAGGTATCACAAAGCTAAATTCTAAATAAACAATTAAACCTTGACAAGGAAATATAGATATTTTGCAGATCTGCAAACAAGTCAAGTATCAACTTTCAACAGAAATATGATATTTGAAAACTTAATTTAAAGCCAATTAGAAAAGAAAGTGAAAGTGATAATATTATTTTATATTAAGGTGTTACCAATTTTTATGTTAAAAAGAAAAGTTGTACTTATGAGGGTATTGTGAAATTAAGTAGATTTAATATTTTTTTCAGGCTTTAGACGTTTAAACTGTTTGTTAACATAAACAAAAAGTTTAATTTGTCTGAAAATAACAATAAGAATTAAATTGTTATGCTACCTAGTTTGTACACAAGAGAAATCTATGCACACATTCGCATGGATAGGATATAAATACGCGTTTGCTTCGCTACACGCACACACGCTTAGCAGGTGTCAAAGTCTAATTTGAGGAACGCGACGGTTTTACGTAAATTCGCAACAATCGCAACTCGACGATAATCTTCATCTCTTTTAACTATTTAATCCGAACATATTATAGAGCTACCAATACATTTAATGCTAAACTAAGAATTAGATTAATATGGTCAAGTCACATGCTGACCACGTAGGTAGATTAACATCGAAAAATATGTCCAGCGACGTGAATTTTATTTGTTTTACAAAATTCTTTAATGAAATTAACTACCTACTAATCCCGTTATAACTTGCTTTTAAAGTTTTAATATTAGAGAAATTAAATATTAAAAAATCTTGCCTGGGTCAAAAAACAATTTAACGTGCACCAACATGAAGTTCGCAGACAGGTATAGCGGCCACAGTACTAGTTACTTATTTAATACACAGACAAAACGTGTTACGTGCCCCGGGACCAAAGAGAAGAACTGCAAGCACAAGTAAGCAAGAGGCAAATTTATACGGTTAACGTTTCGACGCATGTAGATATATAAAACCAGTCTAGGGATGTCATATTACCTTAACAAGCTAATAAAGATGTTGAGTTGGAATCAAGATCGATATTACGAGAAATAAAGCTGAACATAATATTTGATCAACAGGTTATATTTTTAATGATTAATTAATCATGGATGTTTAGCTAAGCTTTTATCCACTGCTGGCTGAGGTGGAAAAAGGGGCAAAAAAACCATATCGATGTCAAATCATAAGCAGTACTACACTATTTTTTACTCGATTATTCGCATATTACTTATTTTTAATCTGGCAATTATTTATTACAAGCAGAATTGAAATCTGGCAATTGTAATTTAGTGTCAAAAGTCTAGGGATGCCTGGTAAACATTAATTGCGCATATTAGTGGTAATATAAAATTTATTTATATGTACTTCTGAAACGATAAAATACACATACTTTGTTAATGTTATTATCTTTGACACAATGGTATCAATTCTATGATTAAAATTTACTATCTCGAACATGGCGTTCACATAATGAATTTTGATACTACAAAAGAATGTTCCATATACATTCCTTCTCAAAGTAATAGTTGGGGAGTCCATGAAGGAATTTTAGATATACTTCGAGCGTCAGATTGACACAATTTTGTGGAATGTTTAGTATCCTGGTGAATAAACCTACCCTATAATTTAATGTAAATAGAGGGAGGATAAAATAAAAATAAACCTATCGAAATTCGGTTAGTTTCTTAATATTAAGGTTTTTTTTTTTTTTTTTTATATCTTTATTTATTGAAAAGGGTTTGATCACGCAGTGAACATGTCACCCTCATAGGTAACCTTAATTGTAATTCATAAACTATACAAAAAATGCTTACATTAAAAACAGGATGAAGTTAAATTAACATCTACGTTTAATTCCTACATTAACTAATTTATATACTAATCTAGCCGCTTTAGATGTCGGAAAAGCCAATATAATATTACAAATTCCTAAATCCCTAATATTAATCGAGTGTTCAATATTGATCATGCATCTTTCGGTTTCGTTTCGGACACATTCCATCATAATATGCAAAACGTCTTCAATTTTATTGCATTCCGTGCAGTTTGGAGATGAAACTTTACCCATCAATGCTGCAAAACAGTTCAATGGAATATGTCCGGATCGAAGTCTGAAGGCTGTCACGATCTCTTGCCTGTTCATTTCGGTATTGTCAAACCAGGGATGGTTGTTAATGGTCGGTTGAACTGTTCGATACCAAATACCTTTGGATAGTGACTTTTCATCAAAGTATTCCTTCCACATATCATTGCTTCTTGCCTTAATTTCGCATAAAACGTCTGACAACTGAGGTTCATATTCCACTGGCACACCTTCCAAACATGCATCCCTGGCTAGTTGATCTACTTTTTCATTTTCCTCAATACCGATATGTGAAGGCACCCATTGTAATACCACATTTTTATCTTGTTCTTTCAATTTTATAATTAAATTTATTATTTTGTAAGCCACTGGATTACCCCTGAAATTGCCCGTACATCTTATCAAGTGTTGAAGTGCGCTTTTACAATCAGTATAAATTACACAATTCTGAAAGTTTATTGATTCTAAATATGCTATGGCTTCAGCAATAGCAATTAATTCAGCATACATGATCGAAATTTTTGAATGTAACTGCAATTTGATAGTTATTTTATTTTGAGGGTCAAAAATCGCTGCTCCAACACTGTCTTGGTATTTAGAGCCATCCGTATAAATCTTATAGTATGAGGAATAGTTATTTGTAAAGTAATTATTGGATAAATTCCGAAGCTGCAACTCATTATAAGCTTTCTTTGACTTGATGACATTTTTAATGAATGGCCTAACTGTACAAGACAAGTTCACTCGGCTTATCCATGTATCAAGCGAAAATATACCTAATTGATTGTTTGAAAACATTGCTATGTCATTTAGTGACTCGAATACGCTAACTATAAGTGGTATCTTTTTGTGTCTCCAGAACGCCCGTTGACAAACTTGCCTGAGCTGTGATATTATTTCACAAGTATAATTGTCTGTTTGTGACTTAAGTTTCAAAAAATATTTACCAGCTAAATAATATCTTCTAATATACAAGGGCTGCAGATGTAGTTCACATTCCATTACATGAATGGCCGTACTTTTAATGAAACCACCTATTACCCTTAAACATTGATTTTGTATTTTAATTAATTTATTTAAATGAGTTTGACAACTATTATCATATAAAAAACTGGCGTAATCAATTCTGCTTCGGATAATTGCTATGTACAGTCGCCGTAAATGAGAAGGATGAATACCCCAACCTGATCCCATTAGCATCTTAAATGCATTAATGAATTTAGAAAGTTTTTCCTTAATTTCATTTATATGTTTCGCCCATCTCAGTGACCGATCCAACCATAGTCCTAAGTATTTATAACTATCCACTACTTGCAGAGATCTATTATTTATCCTTATATCAATTATATCTTTCTTATAACCATTCTTAAATATACATACTTTGCTCTTTTCACTCGAAATGTTTAAACCAATACCCTGCACCAAATCATTGAATAAATTTATAGCTACCTGCAACTTATTTTTTGCCTCGAAAATAGATTTAGTTGTATAATAAAGAATAAAATCATCTGCAAATTGTGAGATCGATACGTTTTTTATGATTTTACAAATGTTTACTGTAACTATATTAAATAATAACGGAGATAATGGGTCTCCTTGTGCTAGTCCGCGACCGGTAGTTCTATGAATGTATGTGTGCTCCAATTGTATTTTTAAATTTCTAATTTTCAAAAAATTCCATAAATAAGTATTTAATTTTATTCCTACCCCCATCCGATCCAATATTTTGAATAAACTATGTAAATCTACGTTATTATATGCACTGTCTAGATCCATAAAGCAACATACGGTCATTTGTTTATCTGAAAACCCGGTTTGAATTTTAGATACTAACCTAGTGAGATTGTCTAGTGTTGACCGCGTTTTTCTAAAACCTGTTGTATTACAAGATAACAGCTCATTTTTTTCTATAAACCATTCTAATCTATTGAATAGTATGTTATGAAAAATTTTGCATATACACGAGATCATTGATATCGGTCGGAGTGAAGATGAAAGACTCGGGTCACGTCCTGGTTTAGGTATCGGAACCACCATTATTTCGCGCCATTGTTTCGGTACAAAAGAGTTCATAAAAAAAGGTTAAACAAGTTTACTAAAATGTTTTTACCATTCTGTGGTAGGTATTTTATCATGGAATAGATAACATTGTCGCAGCCAGGCGATGTATCTTTATGTTTTATACATCTATCTAGTTCTTGAACCGTAATAGCTATTTCAAGTGATGTATTAGTCAACGTAGGTATAGGGGCGTCACGGGATACGAAATCGGGTGCAAGACTACATAACAGTTCGTTTGCTTGAACCGTGTCAATATAGGATTTCGGTGTTTTGTATCCTTTAATCCATCTCATTTTTTGCCATAACTCACTATGCGTAGAAGTTTGATCCAAAGAAGAACAAAAAGTCTGCCATGACTGATTTTTAGCATTGCGTATAGCTTTTTGGGCGTTACTAATTTTGTTTTGTAATAATTCAAGGTTATGTGGTGATGGATTTCGACGAAACTTGGAGAGTGCTAGACGTCTTTCTGCTACAAGTTTAGAGAGGTCTGAATTCCAATAAGGCTTAGACCTAAAATTACTTTCAGGATTCGTATTAAATTTTATATATGGTATACATGTATCTGCGGCTAAGTCTAAATTACTAACAAATAAATCATACTTTTTTTGTAAATCACTCGGTTCTTTATACGTCTCGAAAAGTTCGTGTAATAATTTCTGATATGCTATCCAGTCCGCTTTTTTATAATTCCGACGTGTCATGTAAACCTTACTCGCCTCGAAGTATGTTGTCATTTTAATAATACAATGGTCACTCCCCAAGGTCTCATTTAAAACTTGCCAATGGATATTTAAACTTATATCTGATGACGCTAGAGAAATATCGGGTGACGATTGTTGTAACATACCGTTAACTGCTTTAATTCGTGTGTGTTCCCCGGTATTTAAAGAAATTAAGTTGTTTTCAACCAGTGCCTCAAAAATGTGATTACCCCTCCTATCAGTTTTATTCGACCAATTGGAGTGATGCCCATTAAAGTCTCCCAAAAGCAAAGTGTGTTCATTTGCACCAGAAAATAAATGTTCCCAGTCCAATTGGCTAATATTTATCGTTGGTGGGCAATATAGTGATATAATATTGTGAATTTGGTGACAGTTAAAAACTTTGACGTGTAAACATTCTATTCCTGGGTTAGGGGATAACACCCCATTATGTATTTGACTTCTAATAGATTTATGTGTGAGTATTGCTACCCCCCCATAGGAATCGTCCCTGTCTTTCCGAAATATATTGTAATCTTTGATTTTAAAGCTAATTTCTGATTGCAACCAAGTTTCGCTTAATACTGCTATGTGAATCTTGTCTTGTATTAACAAATTTTCAAATTCATTTAATTTTGGTTTGATACTTTGGCAGTTCCATTGAATAATGTTTAATTTGGTAATATTCTTACAGTTAACTGGCATTACAAAAATAGTCCATTATTAATTTCAGTACAGGCCAATCCGTCACATTGTCAACAACTACTAAAATAACCCATTCAATGCACGTTTTAATAACTCCTTTCCAAATCATTGAAGTAGTGTTTCCTTTCATAAATATAATCTCTTGCAGTCTTTGTAACAACTCTTTGAAACTCACATCCTTTTGCCTTTTGTCAGTTTTACATGAGTTTTGTGATTCCGTTTCATTCTGATCTACTTCGAAACTATTCCACTTCATCCAATCTTCCTCTGTCGATTTATTCTGTTTTTTATGAGAACTTTGTTTAGGTTTCTGTTTATGTACTTGTGCCGTCGTTGTCACTTCCGCGTAAGTTAGATGTTTATTAGTAATTTCCGTGGGAGTTAGGCTTATCTCTTTGTCCGATGAAACATTTATTGGAATTTCTTTTATTACTTCTTCTCCTTCATGTATTCCTTCGTTTTTCGGTACGTATAAAGTTAAAGCTCTTCTATAAGTACAGTTATACTCCGACATGAGTTCTCTTAATCTCTTTTCTTTAATAAAGTAAGGGCAACTTTTTGACAGAGATATGTGTTGTCCTTTACAATTAACGCATGTCATTTTAGAAATTTCACAGTTAGCATGGTTTCCGCCACATTTTGGGCATACCACTTTATTACTTGGACATCTTTTAAGAACGTGCCCGAATTTCCAGCAGCGCGAACATTGCGAAACTGGAAAGACATACGGTTCTACCGCTATTTTCAAACCGTGTGTAAACACGTAACGTGGTAAGTATGACCCTTTAAAGCATAAACGCACCGCTTCACTCGGCGACCATCCATCCCTTTCGACATTTCTTCGATTCAAGCGATTGACAGACAAAAGTTTGGCTGGTTCAGGACAGGATATATTTTCTAGAATTTCCTCTTCCGACATATCAAGATCTACATCTCTTATCACCCCATAGGATTTATTCTTTTCCATAGCTCTCTGAATTTGCCATCCCAAATCTATGAAGTATTGGCACATTTCAAGTTTTTCCGCGCTGATCTCACTGGTTAATTCTATTCGCACTCGGTACGGATTTATAAATTTAACCCGTGTGATATCATTGATGTTTTGCTCCTTCAGTAATTTGGCCAGATTAAACTGTTTTGGAAGTTTTTCATTGTTTGATATGTATAATTCAATCTTTTCTGTTTCTTTTCGCTTTTTCTGTTTAACTTCCGTCCACTCCTCATCGCTGCTACTTCTCATCCTTTTCTTATTATCGTCTTCTACAAACTCATCGAAATTCACATTCATCGAATCTTTATTTAACTCATTACTTGCATCTTCGTTATCGCTCATTTTACTCGTAAACAATTCACATCTACTTCGGCGCAGGTAGCTGGCCTTGGCTGGCCGACCGCGTACCACACTTTCTTAGTTCGCCTGCACTAAACAGTAAAGTCGCTCGTTCAACGTTAACAATAACACGACCGATTCGTGCGAACACCGCGACGAGACTCTCTAATATTAAGGTGAGACATATGAAATCTATGCAAAAGAAGGTGCAATTAAAGAATCTGCCGATTTCATAGTTGTTAACCACAGTAAGAGGGTTTTAAAGGGGTTCTGTTTCTGCCCAAGTCAGTAAAATCCACTATGCAATTTGGCAGATTATAACCCTATCATTATCAGAGATACGTGGGGTGCGGCTTATACAATATCTATATATGTCAAGCCTAATGACTAGCTAGAGGATACGGTGGAGTATACGGTGGTGGTATGCCCTTCCTGGGCTGAGCACTGCCGTGTCCTCATGGAAGTGATCGGCGGCAGCGAAATCTTGCGCCCAGCTTTAGTCGAGGCAATGGTTCGGAGTGAGAGGAACTGGGACGCCGTTTCCTACTTCTGTGAAGCAGTTATGCTCGCCAAGAGGGAGGCGGCCCGCGTGAGAGAGCAATCTTCCTCCTCAAGCCCCAGCCGCCGCAACAAGCGACACTACGGGCGTCGGGGATCAAGGGACGATCACCGGCCACCGTGAGTGCGGGTCTGTGGTCGGCGAGTAAGGGCAGCTCGCCGCCCGACCAGAACCAGGCCCGAGCGTACGGCGCGTAGCGTTCCACGCGCGCCTCAAAGAGCCAATAGACCACCACAGACGGGGCCCTGTAGGGCTGATGTTCAGCCGGGGTTCCGGGTAAGCACAATGAGGCACCGTGACCTCGGCCCAGAGTAGGAGAAGGAACAGGAAGGTTTTTAGTCAGTAAGAGTCTGACACTCCCTCCCGCCCGGTCCTGGGCGGGAGAACTCATTTGATGAATTTGCCCTCACAAAAAAAGCCTAATAACTACAACAAAAGTTACACTTCACAATTTTGGAGAACTATAGATTCCACCTGCCCCCACCGGAGGAAGAATATGTCATTAAACTACTTTATGTATCTATCTCCAGATTTTCAAAGACCAATTGGCATTGGTTTTTCATTTGGTTGTTTAATTTAGCATCCTGGCCTGCCCTACATTAGAACAAAAAAGAAATATGATATAACCCAATATTTATTCGTGATCGACAATATTGTACCTTCTTTTAAACTAATTAAGTACCAAACAGTACAGCCAAAAATTAATCATAAAATAAAATGTTATTATGTTGGTTATCCTGCAAGACTTACTCTCAATAGTAATTTCTAATTATGTCACCAAAACTATTTCAGAATTGTATTTGATTTTCTGAGCAGCCTAGCTTTTGCCTGCGACTCCTTACGCATGGAATAGTGGCTTCCTGCAGATTTTTTGTATCAAAACTATCCTATGTCCATTCTCGAGTTTCAAACTGTGTCTGTACCAAATTTCATAGAAAACAGTTAAGTAGTTTATGCCTGAAGAAAAGACACACAGAGTTACTTTCGCTTTTATAATATTAGTTTGGAAGTTTGGATCGAGCCAAATATTTTTCTTATCTACATATTTTTAAAGTTATTGTAATTAATAATTTTTTGTGGGAGTTTATTCAATTGAGCTGGCAACATTTTAGTATAGCGAAAGCCGGCCTAAAGCCATGGGTGTAATTTTTTTATTTTGAAGAATTTCGGATTCTAATTGTAGATATTTCAATAATAACTTTTGAAGTTGACTGATACAACAATTTGTATATAATTAAGAAGTATATCAAAGATTTGGTTTTAAAAAATGATCGTTTCCATGCCGCTGCTAAAGTTTAAAGATAAAGTAACTATATTTTGTGTTGTTATTATTGTTCTTGGTAGTATTTATTTTTATTTAAACCACTTACAACAAAGTTACGACAGCGTGCAATGGTCTGGCGAGCGGTGTTTATCTGAGCTGACATCTATTAAATATCAATTAAATGGTGAGTATACATATAAAATAAATTTTCAAATATTTAAATTTATACAACTTATCTAATTTCACTGCGAATATCTTAATGCAATAAATTTATGAATATGGATGCAAACGCACTTGCTATTTAGTGTTACTTAGCTGAGAGCTGACCCTTCCTTCTGTGCTGTGATATGGTGCTTCTACAGTATTTTACAATTTGCTCTGCTCCAGTCAGCTTATGTAGCTATATTTCTATATGATAATAGTTCTTAGAGTATTTTAACATATAATTTGTAGTCAGGAAGGGAATTCATGCAGATCTTAAGTTGAATAAAGTAACTTCAAAATGAGTAAAATAAATGAAAGTAACGTAGTAGCTTGCGCCTACTATGAACTGTACAAACAAAACATTTTTCCAGTAGTCTGTATTTTCGGAAATTGGTCTGTGGGTTTGGGTATGTGTAGTAAAGTACACTTTGCCAATGCTATAAAAGAGAAAGTTCAGTGGGATATGAATTACAAGCTTATGCTGTTTAACTAATTAAAACATGAAAAAGTGACCAAAACTATTTTGAAAATTAACACAAATAAGTATCTTGTCTAAGCAGTATAGCATATTTTTATCTCAGTAGTCCAAACAAAGCCACTGGATGATGCTAGATATTGATCTATGATATTTATCCTGTCTTTTCACACTAAGCAGTGTTTAATCATACATGTCTCTTATTTCAGTTTCCCTGAATTAAAGTTTGAGTCAACTTCCATAGGATTGATTTCAAATATACTGACATATTTATGTACTTTTTATAGTAAAAAAAATGATTGGGTAATCTTTGAGTGTCTTTGGTTGCATGTTCCAAATAAAAAATACTTAGAAGGTAGCATAAACTTTACTTCAATGTCTTTATTGTGATTAAGTAGGTAGGTACTTAATATAAAGAAAATGTAATAACTACACCTTTATGAGTAATATCATATATTATATTACATCTTTTCTATTTATATATATTTGTTACAAATACAATATGTGAGCAACTGAGAATGTTTCAAAAAAGCTGCTTCAAGTGCCACAACACATTGCAGAAGAGATCTTTGATTAAAAAATCATATTGATACCAGAGATCATTTACTTAATTCGATTTCATTTAATTTTATTTATTAGCGAGTATTGTGTATGTGAGAATGGTTATGGATAATAATATAATTTGTCCCAGTAATCATGACCAGTGTAAATTCTGTATGTAGAGAATATATCATATCAGACCTGTGTCGCTCAGAGCTAGGACTATAATATAAACACGAAGAGATAGTACACGCGAATATTGAAGGCGAGATTTATTCGAGACCTGAAAAAAGAGAAAGAGGAGCAGTAGTGTAAATGGCCTTAAGTAAATAGAAAAGAAAAAAGGAAAAAAAATCCAGAAAGAAAAAGAAATAGTTGAAGGTATATTTATTTTTAAGTAACTGAAAATTACCTAAACTTTTTGCATTGGTGATATTGTTTAAATCCTGTGAAATCATAAACATAATTAACGTAAAATATAAATCCCTCTAAACAACTCTAAAGTGCATGTAGATAACGAATTAATGTAGGATAAACTATAAAAATGTCAAGAATAAATAATGAGTAGAAAGTACACACACAATAAAAAGACATACTTTATGTACTTTATTTTGATTTAGATATATCAGAAGAGGACATAATTAGAAATAATTTCATTAAGTCGTCTTAAACTTCGCAATCAAGCAGTGGACATTGTATAAGTACATACGAATCAAGGTAATCTCATTCCAGTTTCGCAGAGCCCGAAATGTTGGAAATATGGATAAACATGTCATAAGGTCCAAATAATAAAGTATAAGGTATGTCCAAAATTCCGAAACCATTATAACTGTGAGACAGAAATTTTGTAGTGCGGTAGTTGACACGTGTTTGCCGACATTTTCGTGGCCAAAACGTGTCGTTGCTTAAACATTATGCCCTGTTTTTCAATTTGTCAACCTGCGAGCCCTAATCTATTTTTCTTATTGCTGCTATTAGATATAAAGAAGGAATCTCCAGTCTCCTTCATGGCACATCCTACTCACACATGACATTTTCGGAAATTCTCAAGTTGAAGAGTTGAAGGTAGGCCCACAAAGAGCAGAAAAATTTACAAAATAACCACTCGTCTAGGAAATGGAACAAAGTATAATTTAATTGTAAGAACATAATGCATTAAGAAGTTACAATTGTTCATACTTATTATTTATTGTATAATATCAGGTGTACAATTATCTAACGTTTTTTCTTTCTTTTTTTCTAGTCAAGGGGGAATTTCGTTATTTTTCTGGTTTTTGTGAGCATACCTTCGTAATGTTGGGGTTATAATAATTTGTCAAATCATTTAAAAAGTCTTTTAATATTAGTAAATATGCATAAACGCAAGCTATTCGATCTAATATTTAGCAAATGCTACTACTCAACAAACGGTATCGGATATGATAGATTACTGTAAACCCTGTACCTTTTAGAGTTAAAAAACATGTAGGTAGGTAATGGAACAGAAATTTGTACACCAGATATAGTAGAATATATGAACAATAATTGTAACATCTTAATGCATAATGTTCGTACAAATAAAATATTCTTTCTTTTTTTACTAGTCCAGGGAGAATTTCATAATTGTTTCTGCTCTTGTGAGCATACCGTCAACTCGAGAGTTTCCGAAAATATTGGTATTATAATAATTTGCCAAATAATTTAAAAAGCCTTAGTATTAGTAAATATGCATAAACGCAAGCTATTCGATTTACTGTTAAGCAAATTACTGTAAACCCTGTGTACCTTTTAGAGTTAAAAAACATGTAGGTAATTGAACAAAAATTCGTACACCAGATATGGTAAAATATATTATGACCTTATGACCTAGCTACTCTCGTGCGGTTTCTCCCGCTACTCAGGTCCATTTGATCGTAGCATGATTTTTTTATAGCCTATAGCACTCAGGAACATTGTAGCTAAGTATCAGTGAAAGAATTTTGGCAATCCGACCAGAGGTTCCAAAGATTACTCCCTACATACAAACTTACAAATTTTACCTCTTTATAATATTAGTAAGTATAGACTATTGAAACATCTCAATGTTCGTACAAATAAAATATTCTTTCTTTCTTTTACTAGTCAATCGAGTCGAGAGGGTATTTTGATATATTTTCTGCTATTGTGAGCATACCTTCAACTCGAGAGTTTCCGAAAATGTTGTACGTACATATACGAACGAACATTATGACGAATATTAATGTATTTACGAACATTAAGACGTTTCAATAGTTCATAATATAATATTTTACTAGGTATATCTGGTGTACAAATTTCTGTTCAATTACCTACATGGTTTTTAACGAAAGGTACATAAGGCTTTACAGTGATTTATTCATCCGATACTCGTTTGTTGAGTAGTAGCATTTGCTTAATAGTAAATGGAATAGCTTACATTTAAACATACTAATATTGAGGCCTTTTAAATGATTTGGCAAATTAGTATAACACCTACAGCCTACATTTTCAGAAATTCTCGAGGTGAAGGTAGGCTCACAAAAGCAGAAAAAATAATAAAATACTCTCTCGACCAAAAAATGGAAGTGCATAATGCATTAAGATGTTACAATTGTTCATATTATTTATGGTATAATATCAGGTGTACATATTTTCTAACTCTTAATCTAAAAGTTACACTATTACAGTAATTTATCATCCGATGCTCGTTTGTTGTACGTACTAATATTAAGGCCTTTTAAATGATTTGGTAAATTATTATAACACCTCCATATTCGGAAACTCTCCAGGTGAAGGTAGGCTTACGAAATACCCCCTTGACTAGTAAAAAAACGGCACCTCCTATTCATACACCAACATTTTCGGAAATTCTTGAGCTAAAGGTAGTTTAGAAAAATACGTTGACTTATAAAATTCATATCGATACACGTTATTGAATGCGAGTTAATACATCTACCTCATTTAAGTCTGCATTGTTTCTTTTCTACATGCTATTGATTCACACTTTTAATGAATGCAATCTTTTAATGGAAAATTTACTTAGTCGGGTCATAAGTTCTGTCACAAACTTTTGATGTAATAACTTATACGCCTTTTGAGAATTATTTAAAAATTATATATGAAATGAAAGGTCATTAAATGTACAATATAATTTTATTTACATTATTCGAAATGCCCTCCCCCATTTTGAACACATGCCCTTAATCTACGCGGCCAGTCATCGATCGCTGCACGCACCACATTCATATCTATGTCTGCCGCTGCTTTAACCAGAGATGCTCGGAGAGACTCCAAATTCGGGTGAGGTTTAGCACAGACTTTTTCCTCCAAATATTGCCATATCTTGTAGTCCAGTGGGTTTAAATCTGGACTAGAAGAGGGCCAGTCTTCATGCCGGATGAAGTCAATTCCACGAGCGATCAACCAGTCTTGCGTACTTCGTGCCTTATGAGCCGGTGCAGAGTCCTGTTGGAATATCCAATGCCTGTTCCTGAACATTGTCTGAGAAAGAGGTTCCACTATGTTTGTTAGGACAGTATTTTGATAAACTTCGGCACTAGTTCTCACACCTTTTTCACAGAAAAACACCTCAGTTACGCCTGAATATGAGACTCCAAGCCAAACCATGAATGAGGAAGGGTAATGCCCACGCTGGACCCTCGCAATACGCGCGCTTGCTTCTTCACTGCTGTGGGCATACACCTTATCATTTTGTTTGTTAAAACTTTCTTCAATAGTAAAAATTTTTTCATCCGAAAAAAGAATTTCGCGGTATTTTTTTCCCGCGTACCGTCGTAGCAAAGCGCGGGATCTGTCTAGCCTAATTTTTTTTAAACGCTCGTTCAAAAAATGTCCTGTCTTTTTACGATAAGCTCGTAGTCCCAGGTCTTCATTTAGTACTCTTTTAACAGTGGTTCTGCTTAGCCCCATCTGCAGAGCTAGGATTTTTTGTTTACGTACGGGATTTCGTTCGATTCGCGCCTTCACTGCTTTGATGACCTTATGTGTCCGAACTGTGCGAGGTCGGCCGCTTCTCTTACGATCTTCGAAGCTTGACTCTTCGGTGTATCGTTTGATAGTACGATAAACAAACCGTAACGTTATTTTCAAATTTTGAAGAATATTGAAAATGTCTTTTGGCGCGTAACCACAGCGGTGCAACGCGATAACCGCGATTCTGTCTTCTTTATTCGACCACTCCATATTTAAAAATGAATAAAAAATAATTTCTTTTTTATTTTCTACAAGCGCGAAAGTTCTATTTTTAAAATAAGTCGAAGAATTTCTGGCCAGTAATCGAAAATTAAAAATATAAGGTTTTGACAGAACTTATGACCCGACTAAGTATATTGGAGACATAAAACTAAACAGGATTTAACATATTTTCAAAACTATTTAAAAAAAAGCTTTTGCAGGTCAATACTCAATTAGATATAAAGTTTACTACCTGGTTTAACTAAGCAATAAAAGTGTAGGTTTTGCAATTTTTGATCTACAGACAATAGTTTCATAAGTTTAATGGTGTTACGTATTAACACAAATTATGCCCTTAACATCAATAGATTTTTTTTGCGATTTCAGAAGCATCAACCTTATAAGTTCCTTTCGACCTAGAAAATGTGTTATTTTATCAAAAACTTATTTAATATTACTATCAAAAGCCATGCAACACCTAAAACTAGCTAGCTTATAGCAATTTGGGATCACTTCTTTTGCTTCACTTGCTCTTTAACTGCAAGAAATATCAAGATTATAATGCACGGCTACCGTCACATATCGTTTTGTTAGGAAACAAGATAGCTGATGACTATTTTACCTCCTTATACCTACAGACATTATTCTCACATTTAGAGAAACATGTTTTAAGACGTGGAACTAATACTTCGACAATCTCTTAAGGATGTCGTCCTATACTAATATTATAGACAAAGGGGTATTTGTAATTTTGTATATAAAGGGTTATCTTTGGAACCGCTGCCGCGCTGATCGGATTCTCAAAATTCTTCTACTGGTAGATAGCTACAATGTTCCTGAGTGCTATAGGTTATAGATTATACTTGATTTGCGTATTTACTCGAGCTATCGCTTTAAACGCTGCTGTTTTTAAAGTCCTGGGATAAATTACTTTTATACGCTTGGGAAGAGGCGGGTGGAAGTTTTTTTAGTATAAATAAAACTATGCTGTATCTCGCTCGCCCTGGTTTATACCTAAATAGAGATAGATATATCAAGAAGCAGTTCACTAGCTGCTTTTACCACGTCCCCGGACTGAAGCAGGAGAAGGAACGTCGTGGATTTTAGTCAGTAAAACTGTAAAAGACTGACACTCTCGAGAAGTCATTATGATGAAGATTACCCTATAAGTTACATCCTTAAATATGTATGACCTTTAAATTGTTTTTTTTTAGCCAATAAGGCTTAATGCTAACATACAGAAGGAATCTCCATCTTCCTCCAAGGCACTATAGGAATATTGACATTATTCTCATACACGAACATTTTCGAATATTCTCGAGATGATGGTAGTCTCGAAAGATACGTTGATTTATAAAATTCATGTCGATACACGTTATTGAATGCGAATTTACATCTACCTTCTTTAAGTGTGCATTGTCACTATCTCGCGGATTTAAATGCAGGTTAAAAGCAAAATTCTTTTCTAAAACCCATTTAAAAAATAAGTCAATAATCAACTAGTTAATATGTTTACTACCTGGGTTAACAATAAAAGGCTAGGTATTACAAATTTTGTACCCACAGACGAGTAGTTCAATGAAGTTACGTAGGTATTAAAACAAATATTTCCGTAACATCAATAGATTTTTTTTGCCTTTTCAAAAGCATCAATTTTATAACTTCATTTCGACCTAGTAAATATATAATTTTAGAAAATAAAATTAAGAAATAACAAGATAATAAACGGCTACCGTCACATAGTCTTTTGTTTGAGAATAAGATAGCTGATGACTTTTTTTACTTTATACTGATATTATTCTCACATTTAGAGAAACATGTTTCAAGTCGTGGAATAGGTACCTACTTCGACAGTCTCTTAAGGATATCGTCCTATATTAATATTATAGATAAAGGGGTAGTTGTAATCTTTGGAACCGCTGCCACCGCTGCTTGGTCGAATTCCCAAAATTCTTCTACTGATAGATAGCTACAATTTTCCTGAGTGCTATAGGTTGTAGATTATACTAATTGATTTGCGTATTTTAGTCGAGCTATCGCTTTAAACGCTGCTGTTTTTAAAGTCCTGGGATAAATTATTTTATCGTCGGAAGCGGCGTGTTAAAGTTTTTTTTAGTATAAATAAACCTATGCTGGAAAGTCTATCTCGCTGCGCTGGTTTGTACCTAAAGAGAGATAGATACCTATATCAAGAAGCAGTTCAGTAGCTGCTTTTACCACGACCTCAGTTTTGAAGTAGGAGAAGGACTGAACGTTGTGGTTTTTAGTCAGTAAAACTGTAAAAGACTGATACTCCGAGTCATTATTATGAAGATTACCCTATAAGTTACATCCTTAAAATTGTATGACTGTTAAAATAGCTTTTTCCCCAATAAGGCTTAATGCTAAGTCGACCAATGTACGTTTGTACACGAAGTGTAAAATAAATAGGTACCTACTTAAATAATAGTAGGTAGGTAAGTATATCGTCAGGTGATGATTCTTCATTTCTGTTTTACAGTTGTAACGGAGTACAAAAACCGCATTGACAAGTTGCTGACGGAGACGCAAAAGGCTCATGATATGGAAAAGGAAAGATTCAAAGACGTTATGGATAGTTGTGTAGCGATGAAACAACAAAGTACAATATGTCAGGTATTGTTATCTACCTACTCTTCTAAAAAGCATGTTAAATTTTTAATGTTTTATATACCTACCTACTTAGTGTAATATTATCAATTTTGTTCAAGTAGGTACATAATAATAATTTAAAACTCTTGAATGTGAAAGCGATATGTCAAAATGTAATGGACCTGGACCAGGACTGCGGTGGCGCCAATGAGAAGATGGCGGTGGAAGTATTGCTTTTTACTAAAATAAATTACAACCTGTATAATAAAAAATATTTTTCTGTAAACGGGACTCTAGTACCTAATTGCTATAATTCTTATCCACCATGCTTAAAAATCAAGTGATTATCGATACAAGAACAAAATTATAAAACGAGATTATGGGGCGAATTTCTTGAAATAGGAGGTAGCTACAAGAATTTATACTTACGTAGAAATTCGCAATAGATACCTAAGTAACTACAAGGGCCCTTGTTTTCTAATTATGTAAAAACTTGATCCCTAAGCGAACGCTGGCGTTCACTTAGGGATCAAGGATCAAGAGGTTAAATGTAATTGTGATCTGTTGTAGGTACCTATGGTACAAATTTATAAAATAAAATCGTGAAATAATAGGCTGAACTATAGAAGTCACTGGTTAGCCTTGTTTCAAACAGTGTTATTTATCATGGGCCCAACAAACAATAAGTAATCAAATTGATTAAGGCTACCACTTATTTAATTATAATGGAATTTGACTAAATATAGGTACATGTATGATTATTGTTTAAATTAGAGTAACATAATCAGTAGGTACCTATTATCAAATCTGGTGTGTGTATAGTACTGAGATAATATGTAGTGAATTTTAATGAGTCAACTAGTTTTTTTGTTTGGTTGTTATCAAAAATACTACCTATCGCCTTTTTTCTAACTTTTACTGTTGAAATACATTTAAACAATCCAGCGACCTACAAAAATGTTTGATGATAAAAAAAAACTGAAAAACTTGAGTACCCACTTATTTGTTTTGAGTGACTACTAATTCTTATTTTTACTTTCCAGAGTCAATTTGAAGATCTACAAATTGAATGCAAAAAAGTAAGAGAAGATTACAACAAGGCAATTAAGGAGTTAGAAAAAATGAAATCAGCGGGCTAGAGAAGCTGTCATAATAATCATAATTTGAGCCAAACTTTTTGTTATAGTTGTATTATTAACTCTGTAACTATAATTATATATCTTCCATTTATTAATGTAAATATTTAATCGTAGATCGATTAATTTTTTCATTGTGAATGTCATCATAGGCTGCTCAGAAATACTAAACTACCAACTGATGTGCAATGATTAATCCAATAGTAAATGTCTTATTTATTTAACATGAGTTAACTGATTAATAATTTTCAAATGTTTCATTATGCTATATTAGCTACATGTCTAGATTACTAGTCGTCTTGACATTCAATGTATTCATAGTTAGATGTCCTTAGGATTGAAATTCTGCATGAATGTAATTGAAATAGTTATAAAGGAAATATCTTTTACAAGTTTGTATATTGGAGTCACTATAAGCGAGGGATGGGTCAATAGAATAGGTCAATAGGGTGGATAAGGAGGATTTAGTCCACATAAAGTTTTTCTAATGATGAGGTGATCGACTCTTGGAACTGATTGACACTAAGTAACACGGTACTTTTTTGCACATTAATTGTAGTATTAATAAATGAGTCTATAATATAGACATATCTTCTTGACTCTTGAAAGTACAGAGAAATGTATTATAATAAGTATAATGATTTTATTAAACTGCACATTTTTATAAAAACATTTAGTATTTAAGTATAATCATGTAATAAAAATTGGTTTCTACCCTCTGGTAGTGCGCGTAGTATTGAAATATATATTTTAGTTAGCATAGGGAAAAGGAGGCACCTAAAACCAGCGACCTTGTTTGTAAATTATTGGCCGATTCTTTTTGAAAACCAACTACGCAATGCTTTGAGTTGGAAGTGGGTTCATAATTTTAAAATTTTATTTAATTAGTTTTGTTCTTAACAAATCGTGGTTTTTAAATACAGTAAAATCTCTTTATTCGCGGGGTATATGTTCCATGAATATGCCGCGAATACAGAATCCGTGAATACAGAATGGTAATTTATATGGGTTAATAGGGGATACGTTCCTAGGTGCCAATATAAAAAACACATACATAATAAAATCAATTTTATTGATGATCCAATGCAATGCAAATTAGGCAATGGTTTCAAGAATTTAGTTATTTTCTCTTGCTTGGCAGTTTTTAATAGCGACAATTCAGACTGATGCTCAGCAGTCGCATTAGCAATTTTCCTCTTAAAATTAAGACTTCGTTCCATAGATGGATCAATGTTCACAAAGAAATCGCAAAGCTCATTTGCCATTCATAAACCTTCACTAAGATTTTTCAGAGTAAATATCACATTTTTTGTTGCGGTCTTCTATTTATAATGACAACGCCACTTCCATTTTTTCTATGGCTGGATCACGAACAATTTTCGCCGACAATGAGGTTGAAGCTACAGATGATCTTATTTTATCTTCGGTTTTTTTTATTGATCGTACAGTTGATTCCTTGACCTTGAACGAGCGTGATATGGATACAAATGAGTCTCCAACGCGTAAACGATCAAGCATTTCTATTAACACAGATTTTTTTCGTGTCGAAACGCGTTTCTCAATTTTTTTAGTTGACATTATTAATTACAAAGAACGAAGAGAGCAGTAGAGACGTGTTACTCGATCACAATATTTGGTACCATTTCACGGCACTTGCAAAAGATATTGCGTTAAACACCTATTGGAATTTTGTTTGAAATTTTAGATCCGCGAATAAAGAAATTTTTTGCCGCGAATATAGAAATTGGGTTGCATTTTTTTAATCCGCGAATAGTGAAAACGCGAATAAAGGAAGCGCGAATAGGGAGCTTTTACTGTATTCATCGATGAATAAGGACGTGGTTTGATTATTGTTAAAAGGTGGCTTCTTCTCCCTTTTTATTTAAATTACGGTGGTTTTATACGTCGTAGTTTAAATATATAATAAAACAAAAGGTATAAGAAATTATTATAATTTAAGTGTTCTTTGTTAGACCAAAGATCTTGATTTGTGTGTATAATATGAGACGTTTTTACATTTTATAATTGTATTTGTTGTGCTTCCACATTCCAAGTACCAATTATTACTATATTATTTTATTTTCAATTTATACTTTCAATTTAAATATACATACCTCAACAGTACAGACTAGTCAAATTCAGAAGTTTAACAATTAATTTTCCAATATTAAAAATTATACTAATTTGATTAAACTTTTAGAAAATCAATTATTTTAATGATTTACAATGCTTCTCCTTAAATCATAAAGAAACATTAAATAAATTATAATGCTAATAATTAAATTTATTTATTGATGTGTATTCTGCATATTTTTTGTGATAAATTATTATTACATGTACTAATTTTAACCCAGAACAATAAAAATTGTTTACATTTTTTTTAAATTAATCCTTGTTTAATTTTCAACACCACAAGTGACTAGGTATATACTGAATGCTTATAATATCACCATACTTTCTACATTTCATTTCGTCATAGTATAAATGCCCACTGCTGAGCAAAGTCTTTATTCACTCGGAGAATGCTCTTGGAGTTGGTGATTAGAAACTTTCCTTCACCGCGCACCGTATGCCTGTGGAGTGTAAAACGTGACTCGTAAAGTCACGGTTGTACTAGCCAGGTAACGAACTTGCACCCTTACGCATAAAAACTGAGTTCCTCAACCTCCTGGAAGCAACGATATTATAACAATGCATCTGTAAAAGTTTTATAGTTTGTTATTTAATTATTGCATGTTTTCTTCCTAGTGAGCCATCTCGTGGAATAATCCGACAACACAGGTCAATTCGTTACCTAAAGGTAACCGAGAGGTAGTGGTAGATGGCGCCAAAAGTTTCCAACGCATGTTCAAAGGGTCTACTACCAAGCCAAAGACACAATGTAGCTATCTACTTTTTATTAAAGCTTCACATAAGAAAGCTTTGGTAGTATTTTTTATTTTGTATGGATGGAAAATAATATATAGCACTTTTTTATTGCATGTTTTCTTCTTGTGCGCCATCTCGTGGAATAATGCTGAAAACTTTACAACACAGGTCAATTCGTTACCTAAAGGTAACCGAGCGTTAGTGGTAGATGGCGCTAAAAGTCTCCAACGCATGTTCAAAAGTCAACTACCAAGCCATGATGTACCTATATCTAACTACTTTTTATTAAAGCTTCACAAGTTTTTTTAATAAGTAAGTTTTCGTAGTATGTTTTATTTTGTATGGATGGAAAATAATATAAGAAAACGACATCACAAAGTGAAATGAATAAAGCAAAAAAATAAATTTACTTCGCACAAAGTAATACCTATGTAATTATTTCTGTAATATTAAATAACTATTTTATAATTTTGAAGTTGATTCCGGACTTGATCCAGCTAAAAACCAGTTCAAAGGCATTTTTCCAAGCTTCAACCTGCAACTGACGTTGATTGTCCACCATCGTCCGTCGGGATATACCTACGTCTTACGTGCGAGTGTTCTTTGACATGTTTGACGAAAATCGGTTGAGCCGTTTAGAAGTTATAGGTAAGTGGGGAAGGGTAACCGAAGGTCTTCAATTAATATACTCGAGTGGGGTCTCAAATGAAAGCGCACTTCAAGGGAATGTTGATGACTTAATCGACAGAAAATGATATAAAATACCTATAAAAAGTATAAAATAAAAAAAATAACTCAGACTCCCGACAAAATAGAAATATTTAGTAGACAATAAAATATTTGGATCGGTCCCCCAACGCCACGTTTTTGTTTAATTATTTCTTTTTAAAGGAAGAATAACTTTGTGTAGCTATTTTTTTTTTTAATAAAAATAAAAAAAATAAAGCGGTTCCAAAGATTACCCCCTACATACAAACTTACAAATTTTACCTCTTTATAATATTAGCATAGATAGAAAAGAAAGTACCTAATGGTTCTCAGAGGCAGAAAGTTAGCTCAAAAGACAAATGTTTGTGAAAGAAATAAAATGTTTTTGGTTAATTTAAAAAAAAAAAGTTTTTATTTGAATTTCTAGTACCTACCTACTCATTTGCAGTCATTTGCAATTCGGTTTAGTGGCATAGGTAGGTCAGCAAACTAACGGATGCATTACTTATTTCTAAGCAATCGGCGCTGCCCTGGGACACCCGTAATACTAAAGGAATTTCTATAAGTGCGTTGGCGGTCTTTTGTAAGTTATTATGGATTTAAGGATAGGTGATTTGGGGTTCGATGTTAAGGGGAGGGGGATTGGGCTACCAGTAAAGTCACTCAAATGGCGATACACTTCGTAAAAGTTGTTTAACGCGTGGTTGATTGCATTCTATGAGGCCGCTCCATGTGGTCATGGAATGCATCGTCATGCATGCATGGTTTGGGCCTCCGGCAACCTCAGTCTCACGACGAAACGCAACGTTGTAATTGTTTTTTGCAAGGTTTTCTGTGAGGCCGTGGTATCACTCCGGTCGAGCCGACCCATTCGTGCCGAAGCTGGCTCACCCACACTTTAAAGTCGTTAGTAAACAGACAAGAATAGCAGTGTTTGGTAAAATCGGCTGACAGTTACATTGCAAAATTTTCAAATATATCATACAGTATTGTTACTTACATCAACATTACAACATTAGTAAAGAGCTTCTGCAACTGAAGACTTAGAATATAAGTAAATAATTGTCAGACTTTTTATATTTATATTTGTAAGCGAAATTCAAAAGTCGTGTCGACTACGAAGCCAGCTACGCCGTAGCTTGGCACGTAGCATAGATAAAGCACAAGTAAATCGTGTAGCGTTGTGAACCGCTATGCGACCCAGTAATATTTTTCTTTTCTTCATAATATACCTAAATAACATCGTATTAACAACTCCTACTCCTTCTAAAAATATATATGTAATATATAAATAATCCATTTTTGATATTTCCATACAAATTACAATAAATTCAACCATCTTTAACACGAGTATACTAGCTTCGTCAATAAAATAGTAACTGTCATAAATTTTTTGATTGAGAAAATCATCAAATAACTTCTCTGGAACAGGGTAAGGGGAGAGAGAGTGTCAGACTCTTACTGACTAAAAACCCCCGTTCCTTCTCCTGCTCTGGGCCGAGGTCGCGGTGCCTTAATGCGCTTATCCCGCAACATTCTAAGGTACCTACCGCACCTTACTGCGCTTGACCCACAACGCTGACTAAAAAAACACAACCCTGGTTACGTACCGAAGTAAGTACTTATTAATTAGCTTAAGTACCTACAATACGGTGGTTTCCAACTAGTCAAATTCAATACTTTTATCCAAATGTCAAAAACGATACTTTTCTATGAAAACTGAGTTATGACGTCATTGTATTTTTGCGTCAAATAGTTTATTATTTCTTAAAAATTTGCGAGAAAATATCTAAAATTTAATGTATCGATCGATCGATGAACAAAAGTATAGATATTTTTCAATATTTTATTGTATTGAAACGTCGAATTAATTTATTTTTGACCTAGGAAACTACACTATCAAATTCGATTTACAAAGATTTTGGCTAAGTGTTGAATATAAGGTGGCGTACCCACGGCGTCACCAAAGACTAAAGAAATAGGTACCTAAGTCGTTACAGGAATAACTTAATAATAAGTAGTTCAATTATGTAGATATACTTTATCCTTTGTTAAATGGATAAAATCGATTGTGTTCGCCGTGTGAGTTAGGCAATCGGAGGACCAAACATCCCTAAAT